TAATAGAACAATATATATTTATTTAAAAAAGAGTCTACAGCCACACTAATGGCTCTGTGCGGCTTTTCTGCACAGAGGAGGGACAATGCACATTAATTAAAATGAACACTTGAGTCCATCATGTAAATGTGCCAGATTTAGGCATACAGGCTAATTTTCATCTGCAGTCCCTGGTAGGTTGGTGGCATATAAGACTCAAAGAAAGAAAACGTACAGAAGCACATAAGCACAGACAAATATTAAAACAATGACATAACCATATGAGGCCAGACAAAATTACATAAGCACAGACAATAGTAACAGCAGCAGCAGCTAAATGCTAACATTACAAGGATACAAAGTTGCAGGTTAGGTACTCATGCAAACACATTTGATTGATTAGCAGTAAACACAAAGCTGCAGCTGATGGGATTGTCATAGTTTTGTGAGTAGTTGGACCCTCTAAATGGACAGTTGAAGTCAGAAACTTTGACCTGATGATGGATGAGAAGATGAAGTTATTGCAGTTCATTCTTGTAATTATCACAGTAAGAGAAAAAGTCAGTGGGATACATCACCTGGGAACCATGAATGTCTGTACAAAAATAATGGATAAAAACTGCAGTAGAGAGTCCTCACTTTGTCATTTTCATATGATTGGGTGCGTCCCTCATAGTTTTGGAGTTTGGACTTTTTTTTATCCCTTATGTGTTACGTTTTTTTTCTACAGAGAAAGTCATCTTCAAGCCCAACGATATTTCAGTGTTCTCCACACTCAGCATAAATGGACGTCTGTTTGCCTGCCGGCGGGATCAGTTGGACTCTTTGGTGGGTTAATCTCCCCCAGGAAACACACATTACACAGCACATTCTCATCATATAACAGAGAGACTCCACTGAAACCTCATGCATAGCTGTAACTTTTCATATTGTTTACTGTATATGTCTTCCATGCCTTTAGAATCCAGCTAGCTTTTATATCTTTATATGTGAATCTTTTAATGTATTGTTAATACTACAGTAGCTTGTCTTTTCTTTTGCTTCTTTTTAATATTATAATATTAAAATAATAAATATATGTTGCAGATATAAGTGGATGTTTTTTTTCTTGGTTTTTAGACCCCTTTACCTGAGCAGGAGGGTCCCTCTGCAGGGTTCCTCGCCAGCTTTGAGTTAATGAGTTCTAAAGATGTGGCTTACCACATGACTTCTTATGACTGGGAGCTTTTTCACTGTGTACATGAGGTATGACTGTGAGACCAGGTGCCATCAGCAGAACTGATTCATTATATTATGTCTCCTTTAAGGTTGTAAAATGCTAATAGTACACCTGTTTTAATGTTAGAGCATGGATTGAAATTAATTTGGTTTAGTTTACTTTCAATTGATCCACTCTTTGTTCACATCAGTTGTGTTTTTCTTTGGTTTCGTACAGCTTGAACTCATCTACCACACATTCGGGAGGCAAAATGTCAAGAAAACCACGGTGAACCTGGACCTGTTCCTGAGGAGGTTCAATGAAATTCAGTTTTGGGTGATCACAGAGATCTGTCTTTGTTCTCAGCTCAGCAAGAGGGTGCAGCTTCTCAAGAAGTTTATCAAGATTGCTGCCCAGTAAGTGGACCTAGTTTGACCGGTTTGCAGTTTAATTAAAACTACTCTAACTACTCTAATTTACATTTTGATGTTTTTTGTCACAGCTGTAAGGAGTACAGGAATCTGAATGCCTTCTTTGCTATCATTATGGGAATGAGTAACCCAGCAGTATGCAGGCTGAGTCAGACCTGGGAGGTGGGTACCTGTCCGCAGTCAAAATGAATGACTGTATCCTGACTGCAAGTTAACCTTCAGTGTCATCTGTCTTCACAGAAACTTCCCAGCAAGTTCAAGAAGTTTTACGGGGAATTTGAAAACTTGATGGTAAGTTGAAACAACTCATTGTGCGTCTTGTATCTTTGAGATGTAAGGTTTTCCCTCCAAGCATACGCTGAATTGAAAATCAGCATCATTGCACCGTCAGCTGCTCGAGTGTGGCTTTAGCAGCATCGTCCTCTGCCAGGACCGTGATGGATCTGTTTAACATGGTGATGGCAGATCTCAGAACAGTGTGATTGTTTCCACAGGACCCGTCCAGGAACCACCGGGCGTACCGACTGACAGTTGCCAAGCTGGAGCCTCCCATCATTCCCTTCATGCCGCTGCTGATCAAAGGTCAGAGCCGTTTATTTGACGACCGTTTATTTTTAATACAACATCATTATGACCTGCACGTCAATTGTTATGTTGTTGAATTGCTTCTTCAACAGCTTTACAATTGGTCTTACTTCACTTACTGTATTTCCTTGTTTTTCTTCCAGACATGACGTTCACTCATGAGGGTAACAAGACGTGTATCGACAATTTGGTCAATTTTGAGAAAATGGTGAGGCTCCGAAAGGGTGCAGATTATCGTCTAACAGTTGTACATCTTTTCTCGGCCCTTTGGTTAATAGACGATATCTGTTGTTGATTATAGCTCTTTTGTCTTTCAGCGGATGATAGCTAACACGGTGAAGATACTGAGATACTGTAGGAGCCAACCATTCAGTAAGTGTGTATCCCAACAGTTTGATCACAAATAATACTTAACAGCACTGGGTTGCACCAGTTATGTGTAAGTGCTCTCCTAATTATGGTGTAAAGTCGACATCTAATTAGTTTGTAACTTAGTCAGCTACTAAAATTGGTTGCACCATGATTACTTTGGAGGTAAAGTAAAGTATGGTGAGTGGCCAATAAACACATCACATAAAATAATGAAGGCAGAAAAACTGCTGTTTTATCATTTCCATTTATGATTTATGAAACTTACCTCTGTGGTTCAACCACTTTTAATGCATAAATCACAATTTAGCAATAATTTACATTATAATAAAGCTAAATTTGAGATTAAAACCAGCTGTTGCAACAGGCTCCAGTATAGATTAAAACAACAAAACAACATTTTTTATTCATCTTTCCAATTGAATCAGGTCCAGATTCACCTCTGGCCAGCAAGAACCACCCAGAAGTTCGGACCTACGTACGTCAGCTCAACGTGATCGACAACCAAAGGACGCTTACTCAGCTCTCTCATGGACTTGAGCCCCGCAGGTCTTGAAACCACTCAGGGACAGAAATGTTACACTCTGATGCTGCTTCACTACATGACATGTGTTTGTGTTCGGATGAATTTACTCCAATACATGCAATCACATGGAGGACCTAATGACGTATCAGATAATGAGATATTGTTTCAGATGCCGTTGCCTGACTTGTTAAGCCTTTTATTACGGTAATTTGTGATATTTTAACAACAGTATTTGTTGCTGGGTGAAGTACCTCTCATATCACTGTGCTGCAGATTTCTCCATCATCCTCAAGTCAAACAAGAGCGACAGTTGAAGATATTTACAATGTTTGGGGGGATCTCATTCATCAGATTAACATTTCAGACGTAAACACTATGTGATGCCGATGCTTTAAGAATGCAAAGTCTTGATATTCCTGATATTCAGTTGTTTCGTATCTTTTGTATCAAACAATATTTATACATATTTAAGTTTGTGAGAATCTTATGTGTTGTAAACTGTAAACAAATATTTATTTTGACCTCAGCATGAAAACAATTATTATGATTGTTTGACTTTTTATTCATGTGAGCACATTTCTCCTTGGAGATACAGTAAATGTCTGAAAAACTTTTGTGTGCTTTAAGTATTAAATATTTTAGATGTATTTATACGTTATACTGTCATTATTGTTTTGTTTTGAAAGTTAAAGTTCAATTTATACTGTACATTCTCTACAACTTGTATGTAATGTAATGTGTGATTACTTTTAAATGACCTTAAATTTATTATAGATTAAATCTGCATGAAAGAAGTTTGGTATTCAAAAATTAAAAGTGAGCCCTACATTGTTTATATCAGACTCAGACTGTTGAAATCAGGTCCGTTAAAATGTAAAAATAGTAAAAAAAAAACGTAGACAACAAAAACCTCTTAACGATATGATAAATATCATCAACAAAATCTGAACATTATGATCATAAATGGAGAATCTGTGGTAACTCTGTTGTATTGGATGGCACTAAATTGTGACCAGCGAGTGTATTTTGTCTATGAAATCTTAATATGTAAAGTCAGCATTAATTATAGCAGTCAAATATATGCAGCGGAGTAAAAAGTAGGTACAATATTTACCCTTTTCAATGAAATGGAGTATAATGTAACATAATATGTAACTAGGACTTCTCAAGTAAAGAATAAATGCCTCAAAATTGCACCTGAGTACCTGAGTAAAAGTAACTAGTAACTAACGTCCCACCACTGATGGGGTTTAACATGAATGAGCTACATTGGCATTTGTGCAGCAGCAAAACACAAGGTAACTCAAAGTGCTTTATAATCAGTGTCATTACTAGTTATAATATTACAGTAATAATATTACCCTCCCCCAGTAACTAGTAGTGTAACTAATGAATACAATAATACATTTCATTAATAATATTACAGTTCCCCTTCCCCAAAAAATAACTAGTTACAACATTACTTTTGTGTTGAAATCCAACTATCCAATCACATCCTTGGATTAAATTTTGTAATCTAAAAGAAACTTTTATATTCAGCATCTGGAAATATTTATATTACTAATTTTGTGGAGAAGCAGAAAAGTAATACAAATAGTGGTTTAACTAATTACTATTGCTAGAGTGTACTAAGTTAGTGATACAATTACTTTTGAAAAGAGTATTGAGTAATAAATTACATGTTTTGATTAACTAGTTTATAATACATTAAAATGAATTAACCATGTTTACATTAGAGGGACATTAAATAAAATATGCAATTTCCAGAACATTTAAGGGACCTATACAATATTTAATTGGGGGGCCACACACGGAGCACACCGTCCCAGGACGTGTGTTAACAACAACATTGAAGGACCCCTGAGTCTGTTGCGCCTGGGTCCAGCGGGGGGCGCTGTTGCAGTCAGGATGCTGGCAGTACAGAGTGTATAGAGTCCAGTCTGCTGCGGGAAGAAGTTGTGCAACCAGTAAAACCACCGAGGAGTGAGTGGAGAAATCCACAGACGTCACATGAGATTTCCCGGAACTCTGACTTCTCCACATTTCTCTCTGAAAGTTGATCCGCTGCACCGACTGCGAGCTGCTGGAGCCTTAAACTTCACACTTTAATGCCGGTATGTACGGTGTGTCTGTAGCGCCAGAGCCTGAGGGTAGGAGTCAGATACTGGATTCACATGGCGGCTCGCTGTCATCCATGTGAATGTGAACAGTTAAGTCCTAATGGTAGGCCGGAGAGTGCGAGGATGCGTGCTGATAATAATGTCTATAATGGACAGTAGGTATGCTGTTTGTGCAGGTTTACTGTGGTCGTTCGGGCTGCTGAGTGTGATACATAATGCACTTTACTTCAAGGGCTGTTGTAAAAGGGTTATTATGGCAGGTACAGTCATAATAATAATAATAATAGTGAAAGTAACATGTTACACTTCATTGTTGGTGCCGCTTTCTTTTTCAGGTTTGAATGTTAAATGTTTGCAGTGCATCATGTCTTTATGAAGCCATTCAGCCTTGCAAATTCCCCCAATAATCTAAGCCAGTGGTTTTTAAACCAGGGGACCAACAGGGTCCTTGAGTGGGTTGTAGAGGGCGGGGGCCTGCAGAAGGAGGAATATACTGGGTTTTAATGGAATTAAACAGGGTTGGCTGCTTTTATTGACTGTAATTCATAGTGATCCTAGTTTGATTGTCTGTGAAGACTCATAAAATCTAAAGGTGAGAAAATACTGGAGGGGATTCTTTGAGACAAAATCCTCTCAAATTGGAGGTCCTTGGTCTAATGTGCATCTATTGTGGAGGTCTTGACATGAACAAAGTCAAGTCAGAGCGCAACCAAATATCTCAGATCACTAATTACCAAGTAAGATTGCTATATATCAACATTTGGATGTCTCTGTGAGTAAACACCGCCCGGCTGACGGCTGTTAGGATGTGACATAGAAGCTCACAGGTCACCTTACTATCGGCTAGCTTTGTGTGATTTTATTTTTCATTTATCTTTGATTACAGTAACTACCTGCGGTTTGACGTATAGCTATCAGGCTGTTATTGTTGCAGTGCTTGCAGTGGTGTTTGCTATTAGGAGAGAGCTGGCAGGAGGGAGAGCAGGAGTGCTACCATATCTGAGTAACCCTGGCCTCTTGAGTGGACGGACAATACTGAGGGCTGATCCACTGAGCAGATTGCTGTGAGGCTAAGTATAGCATGAATACAAGTAAATCAGCAGAAAGCAATGGCTCCCCTTTGTGACAATAGAGGCATTTCCCGCTGGGAGGGATAGCAATCCCAATGAAGACCCAGGTAACAGCCTTTTAAAAGCCGTAATTGCTCAGCTGTAAATGGGAAACCTATGAACAATAACAGAGCTACAATTTCCTGTAATGATGGGATTATTTCTTTACAAGACGCTTTTATGCTGTTACGGTCAAACAAAAGGATATGATAATAAATCTGTGTGCACTCCAGCTTGGAAACATTACATTTCTAACACTGGCTCACACAAATGCTTCATGTATGGCCTTTGCACAGGCAGGAAGAGCTCGATTTCTAGTGGCGAAGACAAGTCAAAGACAGTTAACATCAAAATGTTATTTGCTCTCGCTGCTTGTGGCCTTACTTGTACTGAACACTGTAGACAGTGCTGGAATAGTCTGTGACTTTGGCTGCATGTTCGCAGCATACCAGGCATGCCATCATCCTTATACAAGCAGGAGTCTGGACCCTGAGCTCATTGCTTACTGGTACTGATGATGAAGAGTGTGTGTGTGTGTGTGGAGCAGAGAACGAGACGAGAGGATGGTCAGTAAATCACAGCACTATAACCCAGGGATATCACACTGACACTACATGCAGAATCAGCCAATGACACAGTGGTCCCTTTCAGGTCATGTGGCTGTCTCATCTAACCAGCAGTCGCACACTCTCAAATAGTGTGTTTCAGACCGAAGCTTCTCTTTCAAGTGTTTTGCACAGTGGGAGCAAGTTTGTTTTAGCACAGCGGACTTTGTTGAGTGAACCAGACTTCCTTCCCTCCTTGTGATCCCCCACAGAATCTGAGGCTGGTGCTGAGTGTCATTATGAGATGTTGTCTCCAAGCGCCTCCTTCGTGCAAATCAAGTTTGATGACATCCACTTCTATGAGAACTGTGGCGGCGGCAGCTTTGGCAGTGTGTACCGAGCCAGGTGGATCTCCAAAGACAAAGAGGTGGCAGTGAAAAAACTGCTCAAGATTGAAAACGAGGTAGGAGTCATAATTGCCTAAGCTTTTCATATACTTTTTAATTGTCAGTATAGTAATCATTTTAATTGCTACCCCATTTAGAGGTATGTGGCGACTTCTGTACCCATCACTCATGGTCATTATACTCCCCCACTCTTAGAAAATGTGCTGCAAAAGAAACATTATTGCCAAATGAAAGAATGCCGTTGGCTCTTGAAATGCCTTTGAAAGCTCAGGCCCATTGTCTTAAAGACAAAAAAAGAATTATCTTTGAAATCTTTTCATGGAAATTGTATTACATTTGTTGGCCTGTGATAAGATGTTGAGGAAATTATTCATCGTTTCTTTTATGAAATTGTAAAAAGATCACAGATATCCATTCAACTTCACTCAAGTGTTGGAGAGATGATTGTTCAGTGAAAATAATAATGTAATCCTTTCACACTGAAGCAATTGTTCATTTAATTATAGTGTTTGGCTACAATTAAATGAATTGGTTTTGTCAGGTTTCTGTTCATTCTAGGAATGGTTTCACAGTGATCTTTCTATATTAATATATATATGTGTATATAAATATATGCTCTTGCTCCTTTATTTTTAGCCTTGCTAGCAGCGTAGCTCTAGAGGTGGTAATGTCTGTCTGTCTGTCTGTCGGTCTGTCGGTCTGTCTGTCTGTCTGTCTGTCTGAAATATCTCAGCAGCTATGTCGTGGATTTAAATCTTATTCAGACATTCGTACTTTGTGTTTAGTTTAGTGCTAATTACCAAACGCTTACATGCTAAACTCTGACCATTATTATTATTGTTATTACTATACCTCCTTAGCATCAGCATGTTAGCATTGTCACTGAATGTAGGGTAACACATGCAGACATTAGCATTCAGCTTGTTTTATTGTTACACTGATATAATGGTTTTAATTTGTGGCAACCTCCATTACGATGAGAAAGTACAGTTTCTCTTTGTGTTTATACTGCTTAGGCTGAAATCCTCAGTGTCCTCAGCCACCGAAACATCATCCAGTTTTATGGCGCAATCGTTGAGGCTCCCAACTATGGAATAGTCACTGGTAAGATTTTTGAATTCTAATATATATATATATATATATATATATATATACTCTGCGTGTACAACAGAGCAGCGGCTGAATCTGTTTGCACCAGTTGCAGTTTGCTCAACACTGAATGCTGCAGAGGTTTCTATGGAAGCATTAGTGAATGCTAGAGAGTTCAGGAAGTGCACACATTGATACAGTAGTTGTTTGCCCCTGTTTGTTTTTGTGTCGAGGTTGGAGACTGAGAAGAATAAAGTGAATGTAGCAATGGGCCCTGCACAGACTTTCATTGGGCAGGAGTCTAAAGGTTGTCCTGGGATGTCATTTTACTTCAGTTCTTACTCTTGTTGCCAGGTTTTGTATTTCTTCCTGGAAAAGTGCTGATCTCCTCTCTCTATTCTGTAATGAAGATTATTAACTGGATTATTTTGCTGCCCTTTTCTTAATTGGTCCTTTTTTTCTCTCTTTGACTCGTTTTGATTTGAATGTTTTGTGTGTTTTGCTTTCCGCTGTAGTAAAGTCGCCCTGAATCACAGGTTAATGATAATTAACTACACAGGTACCATATATAATATTGTTGGCCATTAATTTAATTTTCAACACTACATATAATTCAAAAAAGCAAAACAAAATAGACTCTTTTCTTTAAAACATCAGGCAGCCCTATGAGCAGCAGTGAACTACAAATAGCTCAGCGTACATGCAGATAGGAAGCTGTGTGACAGGCTCTTAACATGTTTACTCACTCTACATTAAAGGTCGGACTTCTGAGCCTCTTTATATGAAAAATATAATTTCTGTTTGACAGGGCCATTATTAAAAGGTCGGCGACATTCAGGGATTACCGCATGTTTGGGAAACCTAGTGACTCCCCACAGGTCATATACGTTCAATGTCTCGTCCATTCGCTCTCCTTCCAGGAAAAACATGCTGTAAGTGAGAATTGTGGCAGAAACTGACTCACATCACCTCCTTTCATCGTGTGGACAATACATCCCACAGTGCGGCTTAAACACAAACAAGATGTTCTTTGTTTCGTTGGTCAACAAAACTGATAAATACAAGCCCGTAGTTCACATTTGTTCTCACTAAATCTAATGTGTTTACGTTTGTCTAATACAATAAACTGTTGTGTTGTTACATTACATTACATTTGTTGACAGAATCTTTTACACTAAGACCAGTAAGTTTATCTTTTTAAAGAAATGTGACATGTCTCCTTTCTGCTCTTGCTTGAAAACACGGCTCGTCTGTTTGATGTGTGCTGTCTGGAGGGTGAACGGTGAATGATAAACACACAGAGATCGTGGCTCTGTTTTTGTTTTGTTTTTGTTTTTTTTTCTTTTTGTTTTTTTTACCTCTACAGAGATGTAATAGAAACAGCCCTATTTGTTCAGCAGTTTGTCTGTCTGTTGTGCATTTGCAGCAGCCTCAAGTGTGCAAGTGAAACTAGGGTTGAGGAGTGTTCTTTAATAAGGAAGTGCTCAAATTCCAAGTGTACAGTAAATAAAAACAACAATAGCAAATGAATAAAGAAAACAATTCAAGTCAAGTCAGGTTAATCTTTATTATTATTGGGAAATCTGATATGTAGCTACTCTTAAAATGACCACATTTACAAATAAGACAACAAGTTAGGTAATGTAGGACAGTAATAAACAATAAAAAAGAATAAACCAGTAAAAATAACAATAAGAAGCATAATATGTGGTGGTATAAATTATGCTCTGTGTGTATGATATATAATAATATATATCTCTAATACTACAGTGTTTCTCTATTGTTTGGGTGGATTGTTAGTTTTGATTGTTAATAGGGGACACAAACAACACAACTGTGTTTCAGTTTGTAAAACAGCAAATGCTCAAAACTGTGGTGCCTAAAAATAAAATGCAGTAACAAAATACTGTTATACTAAAGCCAAAATAGTAAAAAAAAACACCATCAAAACATCGTCATCATCATCAAATGTTTCCCGTGTGAGTCAGTTCAGGTCAGTTCTGTGATCTCAGTGAAGTCGACCTGCACATGAGATTTATGTTTGTTTGTTTCCGTCACCATGCTGAAATAATGATGTCCTTTTTTATTGAGGAATGGAGAGTAGTAGGAGATATTCTTTTAGACTTTTCCTGAAATGTTGCAATTAAATACTATGAAACCTCTTCTTGTACAATTTGACACTGAAACACAGTTTGGCAACAGCTTCCTCTACAGATTTTGCCATCTTACATTCACATGCCATGTGCTGCATCTTCATATCCTCTTTCTCTGCTTTGTAATTAAATTACTTGGTGTCACTTTACATGTGACCATATAAAGATTATGGAGTGAAAGGTTTTGTATTTCTGCATATTCTTACCCTGTAAACAAGTCAACACGGCTGAAACAGGGTTTTCTTCATTAGGAAGAAGGTTGAGATTATTGTGAGCAGAAGACCCCCATGTAACATCTGTACTTGGTGTTTGCACTTGTGTTAAATTGTATGCAACAATAATTTCTATGTAATAACTGTGTGAAGCCAAGAACTGTACAAAAAGAAGCAGAAGCCTTTACCAGTGAAGTGAAAGCATTCAAACGACTTGCAGATTTGCATCTGCAGGAGGAAAACTCGTGGCACCTTATCAGCCACTGTAGTATTTTAAGAAGGTTTTGTTGTCAAGGGGCTGGTTGGTGTCTCTGTTTATCAAAGCAGAATCTAATTAGCACCAGATACAGGAAAAAAGGTTTATGGCCAACCTGAACATGCCATGTCCACATTCATCAGCTCTGTTATAAATTTCCTCCGTCTGTTGACATACTGTACAGTATCAGGCTGGGCAGTTCCCTTTCTCTGACAGCCAATATCTATCTCTGTCGCTGCTGACCTGCATGAGTTTAACAATATCTGCTGTCACTCAGCGGCCTAATAAACCTAATGAATTAATTGTTTGTTTTGGGATAAAGGTACGTTTACCTGTGACATACACTGCAAGTTTGTTGTTTCACTGATTAAACCTCCATATTAGGCTCATTCACTGCGAGGTGGATGATGCTAAAATAAAAGCACAACAGAGCCACAGGCAGTTATATTATCTATGGAATGTGGTTGAACGTAGTAAAGTGCAAAGTGAGAAGCAGACAGGTCTTCACTTGCACACACAGGTGAAGTAAGGTAGGTTTATTTGTAGCTGCATGCTATTTAAGGTACAGGTTTGCATGTTAAAAAAAAAAAAAAAAGCTGTGCAAAAAATTGCGACTCATAATAATAAAAACCATTGGTGTATTTTATGATTGTTAATTAGACTGCTGTCTTGGTGCCTGTGTATGTTTACATTACTGTGTTGGAACATAATTAGGTTATTATGCACAAACAGAGGTTTCCTGCTGTTCTAGCTGGTATGATAGTGCTTGTTTATCTTTATTCAAGCACTTTACCTCACAGTATAGCTGACAGATAGCAAAAAATTTTGATTTTCCTGTTCTACATGCTTTATCGAAGCTTTTGTCTCCATGTCTTTGACAGTCTTTTGAGGGGGATTTTGTAAAAGGTTAATTGGTTGTCAGGACCTATGAGAAGTGTATAGAACTTTTGAAAACAAAGCATAAAGACTATTCCTTTGTGTTTTTGATCGATTTGATAACGTGGGCTCCTGAGGGAACAAGGTGGCCCATAATGTTCAGTTACTCTGTGATAAATTGAACTCACCCACAGCGACAGTGACAGGAGCAATCTGTAAACAAGACGCTGTTAGTCGGCTTCCAGGAGTCGTCTGGCAGAATTTCAATTTTCAATTGTTTTCGCGTAATGCTCTCACATACTGCACTCATATGTGTAATGTAACGCCTCAAGAGAACAGTTTTGTCACTGCAAGACATTTTACCATCACAAACTGTCAGTCATTCCCCATTCCCAACTCAAATTCAAACTCACATCTCTCCCCACAGAGTATGCGAGCGGGGGATCCTTGTATGATTACCTGTCCAGTGATGAGAGTGAGGAAATGGACATGGGACAGATCATGACATGGGCTGCAGAGATTGCCAGAGGTAAATGGGATGATCTTCTTCATTATGTTACTGAATTACTGCTAAATTTGTATTAATTAATAAATTGTAAACATTTATTTTTGCATAGGAAAGTCATTGAGAGCGAGCTGTTATGTCCTGTTTACATAGTTTTACAACTTGGTCACATTTGGCTCGGCTGATGGTGGTAAAACTGAACTAAACAACTGTAGACAGTGGCACTGGTATAGATATTTATAAATGAAAAGGATCTGAATATACGAATAGTTATTAGTTATTAGCTAGTTTTCATTCCAGGTCATCGAATACAGATGCAAGCGATTTCAGTTACACACTGGTCCTCTCATTTGTTATGTGTCATAATCAATGTTGACTCTGGTCACCAGTTTTTGGGCTTAATAGTCGGCAGGCAGTGAAGCTGTATTTGCACATGGGAATATAAATAGGCAAGAGTCGAGGAGTCCTGATTTTGCTTGTTAGTGAATTCATAATAATGTACATTTCTACTCCAAGCTGCTCTAGGTCTCCCTCAGCTCACTGCTACTCTACCCATATACACTATTTCAAACAGGATGTGGTCCCTCTTGGTACATTATCAATTGAAAGATGCATTTTTGTGATTTATTAAAAACCACTGGATAATGTAGTTGTGGCTCTCTCTAAAGACGTCCTTTTTATTTCCGCTTTAGGAATGCACTATTTACATTCAGAGGCCCCCATTAAGGTGATCCACAGAGACTTAAAGTCCAGGAATGGTAAGTGATTTATTTTATTGCATATTTTTTTGTGTCTAAAACATATTAATTCATATATACATGAATGCTACATATTCTTTACAGCGATTACATACTTTTATTGACTTTAAGAACATTTTCTCTTTCAGTTGTTTTGGCAGCAGACAAGGTTCTCAAGGTGGGTTTTTCCTTATGTGTTTATCTCAGATATATTTTGCTGCACAATGAGCCAGCTCTGATGAGGTGCTGCTGTCTTGTTATCTGAACGTTTCAACTTTAATGAGAATATGAATATAAAAAGAATATAAGCATGACATACTGGAATGTTATTTACGTACAGTATGTGGACACAAGAGGGCAGTGAATAACTTAGCATGTATAAGAAACCACTGACGGCATTACCGGTGTGCTTTACTGCACTGTGGGTTCTTTGATGGATGAGACTAGTAGAAAAGAGATTAAACAAAAGCTCGTGACAATATATTGTTCCTTTTATCTGCAAGAGAGTTACTATATATTATAGAAAACTATTCAGTAACTCCAAACATGTTTTGAAGCCTCTTCTGTGTGTATCTGAAGCATCATAGAGGAACAGTTTCTGACATGAAACTAGAGCATAGTAAGTCAAATACCATTTGTCTGTGACACTGCAGTGACGAGTCCAGGCCTACACATCTGTAGCATTTACTAACACCAGAATCACCACTAGATCCACACTCTTTGTCAGTAGCACATGCTGGTTTCATTAGTGCATTTTCCATACACAGAGGAAGTGCATTCTTCTACGGATGGGGGATACCAAAATAAACATTTTGATTCAGATTGATTAGAAGAATAATCTCAGTTCTGTTTTTGTCACTTCAGATCTGTGATTTTGGGGCGTCCAAGTTCCTGACCCACACGACACACATGTCCTTGGTGGGCACGTTTCCCTGGATGGCTCCGGAGGTGATCCAGAGCCTGCCTGTGTCTGAGACTTGTGACACTTTCTCCTACGGTGTGGTGAGTGGAAAGAAGGAAAGGAGGGGAAAGCAGCATTAAATTCAAATTGTACAGTTCTGACACATATTGCCAGGAATAACATATAGTGTCTAGAACAGTTTCCCATATTCTTATAATAAAAAACCTAACCATATAAAAAAAAGGGCAATCATTATTATATTGGCTGTGAAAAGCAAGAATTCAGGTAACTTAAACAAACAATAAACAAGAAAACAATGACAATTACTTTTTTAGATATATAAATCTTAGTAATAAAAAAAGTGATTTATTCTCTGTTCTGGAAAACCATACACAACATTTATTTGATTGACATACAAACACAACGCAGGGCCTCCACAGATGGTTAGCACTACTCATGTACAGTTTTACATAATATTCAAATTATTTTATCTGATGTTGTCAACATAACTATTATCATGAGGAAATATCTTATATAAGCTTCCTTTTTGTATCTTTAAAAATATTGAAGCATATAAAACATATGCTTACAAGAGTAAATATAAATATTGTTTTAAATATGCAGATAACAGTGCACATGTTCTCCTGGAAGACCTTCGTGGTGTCACACTCGAGGCTGTTCTTTTGAAAAGTGACAGAAATAGTTGTGCCAAGAATGAAAAAGAGAACTACAGAGAAAAGTTCAATCCATGGCTCCTTTCTCACCTCTCCACAGCAGGCCAATCGCTGCATGAAGTGGGTGTGAATGTCAGATCACCGGTTTTGAAAAGTTACAGAAATTGTCAGACACAGACCCCCCTCATCTGATGTTGGAAAGGTGTCGGGGGGTTTCTGAAGCTATCTGACCATCCGACAAGTAGCTCTGTTGGAGTACACCGGCCACTTTAGCTTGTAAAAAGTTACTTTTAGATTTTTTATATTAAGTTTCTACATTTCTTTTTGAAGTTTTGTACATTGTACATTTCTGGCATTTGTTATTCAGTTACAAATAGTGTACTCGAATCCAGTGTAAATATATCGCTAAATTATATCAAAGTTAAAAAAGATATTAATTGACAAGCAAAATTCAAGTCTCAACCTATTTATAAAAGCTTTTTTGCTTTGATTTGACAATTTTATCATTTTACTTTTGTCTAAAAAACGAAACAATGTATAAGTCAATGGAATACACTCAATACATTTGTGGAAATTGCCCTTTAGTCACTTATGGCTTGTCGGTCAATCAGTCCTTTCAGTTCTTTCTCTGCTTAAGTTGACAAACGCGGTGATTTTGATCTTTCCAGAAGTACCGAATCTCATGTGCCTTTCTTATTCTTGTGAAGTTGCTGTCTAAAGACTTTTAGCAATAGTTTCAAAATGGAAACCATTACCAGTTACCTGTAATGAGCTCAAAAATTGCAGTTTGTATTATACAAGGGTAAATTACTGATGTAAAATCAAACGAAAAAGTATGTAAAAATAATTTTTTCTCAGATATATGTATGATTTTACAAGCTAAACAGACAATGTTTATGATTGCAATGAGTGCTATTTATGTCAGGTACTGCAAAATGATTGCAAATTTAAGTATGCAGTTTCCCCCCTCAAACACCTTCCTAAGGAGCTTATTTCTATAGTAAAACACATACATGTAATGAGAGGCAGCTGGCAAATATGGTACACATATAGAGTAGAGCCCTTGGGTGTCTGAAAAATGGCTCTCCTCCACCTTTTCATGATTTAATTTTTAAGATGTTGACGCAGGTTGTTATTTCTGAACTGAAAGCACCTAAATTATAAAGGGAGTACTGTTATTGTACTTCAGAAATCGTGGCAGCCTTTAATTGTTGTCGGAAATCTGAAATTAATCTTTTTGTCTCTTTCGTTTGTTGCATTTGGTCTTCAAGAAAGACAGTTTTTAAGATTTATATATCTATACACATGCTATAGAAACAGGTCAAATCTGCTCAGCCGTATTATAGATGTTTGTATGAGTGTCATTTTACAGTTTTATAACTGTATTTGTTTACTGACCTTGGCTCTTGACTCCTGTGACAGGTGCTTTGGGAAATGCTAACCCGTGAGATTCCCTTCAAAGGCCTGGAAGGTTTGCAAGTGGCCTGGCTCGTAGTGGAGAAAAATGAGGTACTCTAGTGTGTGATTACATGTTTATATAGTCTACAGAATTCCTCGACAGTCTACAGTCTAGTTTGATTAATCAGTATATAAATAATTTGACATTTTGGAAAATTCTCTTATTTGCTTTCTTGCTGAGAGTTAGATAAGAAGATTGATACATCTCTCATGTCTGTACGGTAAAAATGAAGCTACAGTCAGCAGATGGTTAGCTTAGCTTAGCTTAGCATAAAAAGCCAGCAGTGGCTCAGTTGTACACAATGTGAATGGAAAGACTTCATTAGACGTAACCAGTTAGATGTGAATACTTGAAGTCCATACTTGAAGGAGTTTAAAATGTTTTAATGTTGGCAAAACATGTTTTGCTTTTATCATAGAGGTTTTATGAATTGGCTTCACATAACAGACAGACGTTTCTGATGAGTTCTGAGTTCAGTCAGAGGTTTATGCTGCACAAGCACACTCCCACTTGTGATTTTATAGGTACTGTATGTACAGGTAAAGGTAACATTTCTTGTCTTCACCATGAGATTGACAGGCAACGAGGCAATCAGTGGAGACTCAAGGATAGAGTCAGGCTAACATTTTCCCCTTATGCTAAGTTAAGCCATGGACGATGATGGCTGTTGATTCATATTTAGCATGCAGAAATGAGAGTCGTATTGATCTTCTCATTTAACTCTCTGCAAGAAAGTAATTAAGTATATATTCCTGTGAAACTATTCCTTTAAAGCTCCAGTGTGTAATACCTATTGGCGTCTAGCGGTGTAGTTGCACCCTCCCCAAAGCATGTAGGAGAAACTATAGTGGCTGCGAAATGCAAAATACAAAAGGCCCTATCTAGAGCTAGTGTTTGGTTTGTCCATTCTGGGCCACTGTAGAAACATGGCGGTTTAACATGGCAGACTCCGTAGAAGAGGACCCGCTCTCGCTGTAGATTAAAATACATAATTCTGATGTAACAAAAACACAACGATTCTACACTAATGAAAACATACCTGTGAATATTATATTCAATTTCTGCCAATAGATTCTCTTAAATGTTACACACTGGACTAAATAAGGACCAATTCATTTTAGTTCACTAACCAGCCGTTCATCCTACAACTGACTGACTGTGTTTCAGAGGTTAACCATCCCCAGTGGTTGTCCTGCCAGCTTTGCTGAGCTCATGAGGAACTGCTGGGCAACAGAGCCAAAAGTGAGTGATACTCTAAGTTTCATTAGCATGCAAATTAACAACTTATGTATGTTTTCATTTGAATCACATACAGAGCAAATGTTTGTATGTTGATTTAGGAAAGGCCAATGTTCAAGCAGATCCTCTCTACTTTGGAGTCCATGTCTAATGACAGCCAACTTCCTCAACAGTGCAACTCTTTCCTTCACAACAAGGCTGAATGGAGGTAATGAGATCAGCCAGGCCCAGTAAATGTATTTATAACTCTCTTTTTTCACCAATATACTGCCTCAGCCTAAGGAAATGTGCAACTGTTTTCAAAGAATGATGTGGAAATGTAGCTGATGGGGGCCATGCAATACAAAAAAAAGACTTGAGATCGTGCATATAGATCTTTAATAATTACACTGATAGCTACATAAAGGCATGAAAACCTCCAAAGAATCATCCATCTGGATATACTTCCTCTCTTTACCCATAAGGCCCTAAAAATAATCACCATCTTTTTCAAGTAGAAGTGTTTAATTGGGTTGTATGAGCAGCTGGAGGTTTGGTGATGTTCAGCACAGCCTGAGTCTCAGCTGTTACTTTATTCTCTGTCTGCCTCTCTGCGGGGCTTGTCTGTGCTCTGAGGTTTTTCCTCAGAAGTTGTGCTGGTGGCATCATGTCCAGGCAGCCATCTGCAGGTGGAGCAGGTTGGAGTTAATCTTGCTGCTGGAAAACAGAAACTGAGAATGTGTGACACAGAAAGGCGCATTTGTTGTAGCTCAAGAGGTTTGATACTATAAGCTTAAGCTGGCTGGAAGTGGAAGGAGAGACTAGTGGGTGATCAGAGCAGGAGGTAGCTTCACCAGAAAGGGCACAGAGATGTTACGCTGACCTCAGAGAAGTTGGGCTTACTACAATTTCCTCAGGTAGCTGATTTGCATTACCCGGGAATTAAGAGTCGTCCACACCAGCAACAATAACTACAGATATTTATTTTAAAATCCTTATAACTCCAGTGGATGGTCCACACCACAACTATAACAAAGACGACAGTGTTGAATGTTATCGTTGGGATTGTTTTCAGAGTATTTTAGTATACACCTTAATAAATGCTTACATAACGTAATATTAGGCCATTTTACCTGAGATGTACTTCTAAACAGTCTTTAGCGCTGATAGGGTCTCTGAAATGCGTAATGAAGTTATCTTTTCTTAACAAAGTATGAATAAAATATGTCTTCAAAGGACGACAACTCTTGTAACAGAGCACTTACAAACTCCTCTCACCTTTGAAGAACTTCATGAACCCATATTCTTCTGGTCTTCTTTTTGTTTCTTTGTGCAACGTACAGCAGCAACAGCCCATCAATGTACATTGTCTTCAGCTTAATAGACACACCATACAGTGCAGTGTTTCAGTGCAGTGACTCTGTGTTATACTGTAGCTCATTGGCTTTCAAATTAAACAATTTATATCAGGTTAAAGTGCTGAATTTTGGCTTGAAGTTAGAGAGCACTCACATCTATATTGGGTGCACAGTGCAGGAATATAGCCTTGGGGGTGTATATATACATATACTATATATATACAGTATATCAAGACAAAGAGTCTACAGCCATGCTAACAGCACTTTGAGGCTGTACTTAGACACAGCAATACTTTGAGCGAAATGCTAACATCAGAATGCTAACTTGCTCACAGTGACAGTGTTAAAATGCTTAGCAGGTATAATGTCTGGGTACCACGTTCACCATCCAGGTTTAGTGTGTCAGCACGCTAACATGTGCTAATAAGCTCTAAACACAAAGTACAGCTGAGGCTGATGGGTCATTAGTTTTTGGTCATAAACCAAAGTTACATAAATTAAAAGTCAAGATCACTAAAGTTCTTACAATTCATCCTGAGGGGGGACGTGACGTTCATGAGCACATGAACAACAACTTTATGACAGCAACATGTGTTCAGCAGTGCAGCGACAGATAGCTTCAGCTGTTTAAACCTCTGTTCAGTCCTCTCCTGCTCTCCCATCGTCACTGCGATTTTATGTGTAAGTGCTCTTATTTTTTTTTTGATGTTTCTGTTGTCAGACAACCTGGATGAAGTACAAAGTAAAGCAGACCATTCTGTACATTGTGCTAAGATGCTCGTTATATGATGCTGTTTTTCTAACACGTCTAACTAAATCTTCGTTGTAGTAACTAGGATCTACTAAAGATGGAAAAACAAGTTAGTTTAATCAGTAGCTTCCTCCATTGAGTCTAGCTTTCTGTCACCTCTAACCCTCTCTGTAATGTAAAGCTGTTATTGAGTTATATTTATGTTGAGGTGCAGACGACCTCATGATCATTTAATAGTGATTTAACCAGCATCTCAGCACAGCGCTACAGGTCTTATAGTTTGCATGGTTAATAGGTAACGTTAGCATTTATCAGCCACTACCAAATCACAGCTTACTGTATGCTCATTTTGTTGTCAAAAAAAAAAAACAACAGAAACAGGAAAATAATGAAATAAGACTGTGATGATGGAGAGCAGGACCTGATTGAACTGAAGTTAAACGAGCTGACTGTGTGTCGCACTACTTTATCCTCACAGTCATTGTTTCATGTCCGATCCAGTGTCCTAATACTTACAGACTATACTATATGTTGTTTGCACAGACAAATAAACCCTAGCTCTGAGAGTTTAATAGTCAAAAGCAGCTGATATAATCCAATGGTTGCTATGTCTTGAAACTAGTAAATTAATATCTTGTATTGTGTAAACCACTGGTTCTTAAACTATGGTACGTGTATCAAGCTGCCTCTTGTGGATGAATCTCTGGAATATTTAAAAAAATCTAAATTAATTAATTAAAAATCATAGAATACTATCAAAATACTACAAATATATAATGAAATTAAGCTAAGAAATCAGATTAAATTTAAAATTGAGATGAATATGGTCAGCCTACACAGACTGTGTGGATAAAAAACTCTTGAAAAGAGAGTTTGGTAATGTACCGGGCAATATAAAATGCCAAAAGAGAAGAAAACAAATTATTTGGGAAGTTGAGCAAGAGTGGAAATTGTTTGAGGTGGGAAGCATCAGGGTGGAGGAAGTGGAGGACTGGGAGGAGTAAGGATGGGCTTTCCTGCCCGGGCTACATGTGTTTATGAACATAATGTGTGAGAACTGAGTTTTTGTTGGGCTGAAGCTCAGCATGGATTTCCACGACACACTGTGCAGCCCCACCCACTGGGCAAAACAAACTTCCCCAGCTTGAAGTAAACATGAGACATTGTCCCGTCCTTGGCATTCAAAGCTTCAGACACAGACTAATCACCTTCTGACTGCATGGCATTACAGAGGAGTTTTGTTTTATTTTGCTTTAGTGTCGCTGCTTACTTTGTTAGCACTCTAACTGTATTTAATTTCACTATGCTGTATTATTTACAGTATAAGGCTGGTGATTTAACATTTTCTTACCGTCAACAAATTCCAGGAAAATACCAAAACGTGGGTCGATTAGTCTAGTCAGCGATTGTTCGTGCCCACTCGTTCATAGTGGAAATCCCAAAGTTTCCAAAATATTCACATTAAATGGAACGATGCAGCCAGAGTTTTGGCTTTGAATTGTTCCCACACATTCAAGTTGATACATGATATATATGATAGGTCAGTTAACCTTTAAGCTAATTAAGGAATTAAGAAAATAAAAAGGGGAAACTGGATTCTGAGGGGTTAAAACACATCAATGAGGTGCAGTTTTGCCTGCCTTGATGACCTTCATTTCAATGAACACAAGCACTGTTGTTTACAGAGTCAATCCCACACACACAGTCCTGGTGCAAAAGTAGTCCCTAGCGCACCAAATGTTTTAATCTGCAGCTGAAAATAGTCCCTAATAAATGCACTGTTTAGTCCTTTAAAAATCACATATTTGTGATGTCTTAAGTGCCACACAGAGAGGGACTAACATATTGTTGGTTTTGGCCTTTTCATGGGTTTTGTTGACAAATAGAAGAATATTAAATCAGACCAGGCTTTAACATATCTACATCTCACATTGTTCTGTTGCTGGATACTACAGGTGTGAGATTGAAGCCACACTTGAGAGACTTAAGAAGCTGGAGAGAGACCTGAGTACCAAAGAGCAGGAGCTGAAGGAACGAGAGCGGCGTCTAAAGATGTGGGAGCGCAAACTCATCGAACAGTCCAACAGCCCGGTGAGTTCCTCATCATCTCCCTCTCCACCTTGGTCTACCTTCACACTCAAGACAGCTGCCACCAACTGTCAAGTGGTCAGAGCATTAGCGCCTCACTTTCACACCGCTGGTCACATGTGTGTTTCCTCAATCCCATTAGAAGAGGGGCAAAAATCTTCCTCTGGGGTGAAGTGGAAATTGGAAAGCAGTGAAATGAAAATACAATGTGAGGAATGAGAAGTGAAGTAAAGAGCACATTATGAAAACATTATGGGCAGTACTGCATTTATGCGCAGTGTATGTGTATGTGCATGGCTGCCCAACAGTAAAAGCTGTTTCTTACTAGAATTAATACTGAATTGTGAGTGTCCAGCTTCCTGCAGTTCACGGCTTTCTTGCAGTTTGCCTGCACTGTATTGTTTGCATGCAAAACACACAGCAGATCATATTCTGGTTTTCCTTGTTTTCACTTTCTGTGAACAAGATACCGTTGTTTTCTCAAAACCGTGTGGGAATGAATGCCACAGTGGTGTACAGTAGAGATATCTTGGAGGCTGCAACAAAACACAGATTCTATAGTCTGAGTTTGAAATAGTCTACAAAAGTTTTGAATGAAATACACCAGGGTTCTCAAACTCCAATTGGCTTCTGGCCACTGCTGGCATTGTCATCTCATAGGAGGGAGAAGTACTACAAGAAAGCACAATATTTCAGAAAATTTACTTTTTTATTTCCATTACAAACATTAACAAAAATGCACACAGAGCATTTATTCATTTTTATATACATTAGTTGACACTTGATATCTCACTGCACTTTGTCTGCAAAAAGTTCTACTTTTCTGAACAAACACTATCAGTGACTTGCAACATGCAATCCTTCAGAAACTGCGCTGCAGTGAATAGATTTCTTATTTTGCTTTGGCGACTAACTCACTCACCACATAACTTGCTTTAACTTACGACTTCTTTGTGGCTTTATGGAAAGGACTTTGCTGAGACGTTAGTACTCTCTGAAGCCTCGTTGTTTTTTGTTTTTTCTCCTTATCTCCCTGGACACTTTTTCCTGCATATCAGGCAGGTAGCATTTCCATTGAACTCCACAAAACATTACTGCAATGTCCATCTTTCTTGAAACTGTTTCTGGTTTAGAAAGAGTCATCTTTGTTGTCCGCACTAGGCATCTTTGACCTTTCCCATTATTTTGTGCCATTTTTATTAAAAAAAAACAAAATTGTGTTTTTATTTTAATTGTATATGAAGGGGTAGTTGAAATCGGTATGAAATAACCAAAGAAAATGTAAAGGGGAGGGAATAAAGGCCCAGAAATGTCCCCCGGACCAGCAGTTTTGAGACCCCTGAAGTACACTAAAATCATTTCCCGTATTTCCTTTCTTTTCCCACCTTACTCTATTGTTCTACTCTCTTAACTTCCTTTTATAATCCAGTTTTCTAATTCACATCTTGGGGTTAAAAATGTCTTATTTACACTTATTTTGTGGTTTGAAACTGATTACTTACTTCCTTTTCTTTTCTATCCTCTCTTCTTTTCTTTTACCCCTGTGTCCCCGCTCTCCACCTGTCTCTGCCTCTCAGCTCTTCTTACCTGTGGCAAAAAAGATAAGTGCTAAGTCGTTCTATCAGTGTAAGACGGAGGAATCAAACAGTTCACAGATGTCATGTCAGATCACAACCTCCAGTAACGAGGAGGTGAAGCTGCAGTCCATGATGAAAGGCTTTGAGGACATGTTTTCCTTGGACTTTGGCCGGCCTGTCCTGCACTCGGGCATGCAGGTCAACATGCAGGCCAGGCAGAACTCCTCCATGTCGAGCTGTGTCAGAGAAGGACACAAAATCAACATGACTCTGGGCATGGGACGCTTCAATTTGTCTGACGACAGTGAATAAAGCTCTCCGGCGTTCTGTGTCACCACAGCTGCATCTGTCCAACACTGTGATCTCACTTAATGCATTATTGGTGTTGTGGAAGCACTTTTTCTAAATAATTTGCTTGTTAAGTCATGTTGATTATTTTGTCATTTGAACAATCTTCACTTTGTCCCTTAAAAAACACATCTTGGCATACTATTTCTTCTGCTTTGTTCAAGTAATATTCATGATGTGCCTTCAGAAATAGCTCAGTGTAGCACAGAAACATCTTACAGAATATATTTGTAACCCTCCACCTATGGATATTATGGATGTAATTTACTGTATGCCTAATGTACTGCATGTATAGTGCCATGCTGTGAAGAAAAGAGCCACGTGAGCCACTTGCTTAGAGAAGGCCAGGCTTTTATGATGAAGTGACATTTTGCTGACATTAAGATTGGCCAATTTGTTCTGGATGTGGTGGAGTGCAGTTGTTGAGACGCAGTCTCTTACCAGGATGAGAAAGTACATGTTTTATCCTCTGACTGACCCAGGTTCAAAACAGCAGGAGAGGGACTTTGCTGTGTGACTGTCAGCTTCATTCTCTCATTTTACCTTTTAGAGAATGGATTCTTCCATCGGCCAAAAATTTAAAATGATAAAGAAATTAAGAAATAATTAATAACAATAATATTGTTTTTGCACTTGAGGCCTCAATTAGAGTTTTTACCAGTGAAGTCACGATATTGATTTTAATATAATAGTTTCCTCCTGTAGACACATTTTACATAGAGTATCACAACATATGGTCTAACTGAATATTAGCCTCAAGACCTGCACTTTACAGTAGAGAAAATCGTATTAGCATTAGTGTTCTGTTAGGTATTATGCTTCATCTGGGGGAAGGACATGCTTCCTTGAGCATAGCCTATTAAATTGTCCCCTTCGTTTGTTATCATCAGTCAGTCTCGTGAGAATGTAATCCTCTGTATTCCTGTTTTGTTGCTTGTTAGCTTCCTGCCATGAGCTAATATTCCTATTCAGACGTTGCCCGTACTCCCCTGTGCCATCAAGACCTATACATGCTAGACTAGACATAACAATTAACACAAACTCTTACCAGTATTTACATTCTCCTGTGTGAGATCCAGACACTTAAGTCATCCTGAAACATTCAGCTTCCACACTTGTGAGTCATCTCTTTTCGCTTCCACCAAAATTATTTGACTAGCAGCTTCTTGATGTGACTTATTTCCCTGAAACCTTCACTGTTTTGTCAATAAATCAGTTGATTTCAACTATCTGACAATGTGTCTGTCTTAGATTGATTTTATTACATTAAAAAATACTGAATTATGTTGTATAACTACTATTATCGGCCAAACCGTTATGATCGATGACAGAACAGAGTGTGACTGATAACATTTTAATAAAATAAAAATAAAGAACATCTTGTGATATTAACTTCATGCCGTTTTGTAACTCTCTGTATTCATGGTCTGGTTACCCACCATCCACTTAGTCCACATGGGGGCAGAATTGTGTGAACTAAACCTAACTCAAAGCCTTTTTCTTCTCAGCAGAGTCCACACACATATCATAAACACAAAAACTCTGCCCGCATTTTGAATTTGAGATCTAGGTACCTTTGTCAACAGCATGCCATGGATCTCAATGAAAGAAGCATGGCAACACATTTGTCAAATACAGTATGCTGCTTGAGAAAGTGATGTTAAGTCACTCCAGTGAGGCTTTGGCAGTAGGCAGTGTTTCTGAATCTGTTTACTTCCGAACGGCAGCACTGGAGGAGGCGGAAAACGCTGCAGGGCTGAGTGGCTTTATGAGGCGGCGGGCTGCACTGAAATATATGGCAGCAACTGTCTATTGAGACCGGCATTCAGTTCATAATCTGAGCTGTTATCAGATGTCGTGGGAAGAAGACAGTGAATGGGGATTACTCAGTCATTTAGTCGTCTTTCCTCCAATTTTCCATTGCATTATTTCTGTCATTACACACCAGTCTCATGAGCACAATGATGAAATCTTTATTTTGGCTGGCAAGTTTCTGCCTGATTACATTTAATGAGCAATAAATGATTTATCATTCAAATAGATCACGTTAGATCAGTCAGATGGACATTTCCGTTTGATATAGACCATTAAAGGCGCGGCACAATAAGCGGAGAAGTAATGGCTGCAAAAGACATGGAAAACATGGCTATTTTCCATTTTGATAACATTTTCTTAAGATTTTTACTTTAAGATCTGTCAGTCATAAATAGAAATGTTTCATTCCCATCCCTCCATATTCTGTTGCTGTTACTTCTGTTTGTCTTTTGTTTTCATGCAGTTGCTGCCCACCCTTGACATCTATACATGGACAGAGGAGCATGTGGTCAGTATCACTGTATTTACCTCATAACTAATATATTCATCTATATTGTCACGCCACATGATGACTATTAAAACTAACATATCACCATTTTTTTCCTTCAGTATTTCTGGATGCAGCAAATATTTGGCGCAGGTTTGTTCACTTTCAGAAGTTGTACACTGTAAGATCATCCTTAATCCGACTTTGGCAGCTTCAGACTCTTTATTTGTTGTTTATTTGTTTGTTTGTCTATCTCAGGGGAGGGCCCATGTGACATGCAACGGTATGCAGACCTGTTTAAAGAAAATCACATCACCGGAAAGAGGTTACTGCTGCTCACGGAAAACGACATGCGGGACATGGGGGTCAAGTCCAAAGGTCATGTCATGCACCTTAAGGCAAGTCACAGTTAACCATTAACCACAACTTCTCTTTTATTTTCATCCACACATAATTTACAGTGTGAGTACTATGTATGGTCAGTATATTTTAAATTACAGTAAATCTCACATCTTCTCTTCTGCAGAGTGAAATTGAAAAGCTAACTAATGATTACCTCGGGTTCGTCCACTTCCCGCCTCTGTTGAAGGTATAAAGTTTCTTCTTTATCTTCAGGAAGAGTTGGGCTTGTTTTGGGGTTTCTGTGCATATTGGAAATAATACCAATTTTCTTTTCCAGGACGAGCTGGAACAGGAGGTGGAGAGGAGTAAAACTGTTAATCTGGAGCTTGTGTTTGGGTACCACTGGAAATCAGGAACGGGCAAATCTGTAAGTTTGTAGTGAAACAACGCGCACATACACGTTGACTGCATCAACATATTCTGCAGCTGCATCGTCCGCTTTGTGAGGACAATCACAAATCAATGTTGTACTGTATCCACTTTGATCAGGGTTGTTATTAATTGTTAACATCTTTCATACATTCGGGAATAATTGCAAATAGATGCACAGAATAGTGTTTTGCCGTGATTGAATCAGCCTCCTTGTACTGAGGAATCATGATGATGGCTGTTATACTGACCATTGAAGGCATCACTAGACATGCATAAAACCAGACAAATAAACATTTCATTCTCTGCCATGTACCACATCCACCTCGACTTGCTCACAGCCCTTTGTTAGGGTCTCAAACTGTGGAGAAAGGGTGGCTCTTAACTTGCTGTTTGAATTTAATCAAAAATAGCCCATTTAGCCAGAAGTCATTTTCCTTTTAAAAGGCAAACGTTATTTAATCTTTCAGCTGTTCATTGTCCCATCATAAATAGTCCTCTTTCAGTGTGTTCGGCAGGGCTGAAACGAGCCTGCTAATTGCCTCCCATTTCTTCTGACATGTGGTGGTTTAGTGGGTAGAAAACACAGCAGGGAGAAGGAAACAGGAGGCTGAGAAAATGAGAGCTAATTATTTTCCCCTGCCTGGTGTCAGGTTCCGTGTCAGCCTTGTTTTTACAAACTGGAAGGTTTTTTGCACTAAATAAAACAAACCCGCACTGCATTTTTTTTCTTCGCCCCTCTTTGCTGGCGATGTCATGGAAGCAGCTGCACTTCTCAAAGACAAAATGAGGGCCTGCGATTGTGCGGCCACCATCTGACAGCCACTGAGGGTCCCCTACTAATGAGGATATCACCGTGCAGCCAAGTGAAAGGTGCTGAATTATGTATGAGTTGTCATTAGACGCACTCGGGTCCTAGGCATCATTACCAGACATTGTTTCTGCTGGAGTGATTAGACTAGCATGGACCTGGGAGCCCCGGTGCGATCGTCCAGTGCCGACACCAGGCCAGCGCGGGGCCACTGGTGTGTTTCTGAGCCAGAGGCTTGCTGAAGCTTCCCCTTTGAGCCGTTTCCAGCCCCCGGGGACGATGCAGAAGAGGGCGAAGGCTCCTCAGACGAGTGTGTTAGTGCCACTCCTCTGATGTCTTTCTCTGTGATCACTACACAATGGATTGGCCTGTGCCATGAACCCTGTGTGGTTAAGCAGTGACCTGTGGTTTTTTTCGCGGGCGGCTTTTGGGGATTGGCAGAATCATTACTGCTTCGTCAGCATTCAGTATGCAGGAGAAGAGGGCTGGGGAATTGTTCAGATTTGTGCCTCCTAGTGAGGATTTGATGTGTCCCGCACGCAAGGGAAAAACCTTTCACATTCCTGCTCCAAGAAATTCATCCTGCATCCCACCAAGAAAAATAACATCAAATGTTTGACAAGGAATTTATGTCTACATAAAAATATTTTCTATTGTTGTCATTTAGTAGTTTTATGATATTCTCACTGCAATGTTGAGCCATTCGTATTGTAATTAAGATCAGTTTTCTAAATGAGGTGTTTCATAATGCATTTACCTGCTTTAGATATTGTATACAAACTGCATTTGATTTTATTTAAAAATTTCTGTCCCCTTTCAATTTCTTTATGCTATAATCTCTGTCCTTCCCCCACAATATGAGGCTTTGTGGCCACTACCATTAAACTACCTCTAGGTTGTGCTGTTGGTTTATATTCAAGAGTAACCAAGTTCTCCACACAGAATACTGCAATTATAAACTTTTCCATACAATCAGGTGTTGTTTCTGTGTGTACCAGACCGACATTATCTTACCATTAGCTCTTTTCTTTCCAGGATTGCAAATGGAAAATGTACGTTGAGCTTGATGGAGATGACGTTGCAGTAACCTACATCAAAGATGTCATCTTTAATGCCAACCGTCAGGATGTGGAAATCCTGCGAATGACTAAGGTGTCGTCAGGAACACTTTTTTTTTTTTAAATCAGTGCATCAGTGTCAATAGGATTGTTGTATTATGGTCAGATTTGAGTTAATAAACTAATATCGTTGCAATGCAGCCACCTTTTGTGATGGACAAATGGATCGTTGGAATACAGCAGGACCAGAAAGTCGACTACACGATCAATTATGAGGTGAATCACTTCAGCAGCCATTTGAGATATCAATTTTAAAAAGGCAATCACAGAACCCTGCACAATAAATTTTAATATTTCTGACACTAAATATCCTTATATATTCTCATCTTCTCACACTTTAGAATGATGTCAAGTCACCAAAGTGTACCAGACACAGCTGTCCAGTGTCGTGGAGTCTCGGTGGTGGACAGGACGAGATCAAGACTGTGGAGTTAGTCATCGAAACAACGCCGACAGCTAACATCGACTGGAACCTCAGGGACAAGTGTAACTCGGGTAATTCTTTTATTTCATCTTCATCAACAGCTTGAGCTTGTGGTTATCTCAAATATATTTAACAGTATTAAACAAAGACTGTGCTCCTATTGTATCAATGCATATCTTCTTTGTTAGATATTGATCCCACGTGGATGTACAACGTTAGGCAGAGGCAGATGATGACCCAGAAATCCCTGCAGACGACTGCTGCTCTGACTGGCTTCACTAAATCTGATGCCCGCACTCTGCCTCAGTTCCTGTCTGCTCATGAAAGCCAGGGGTTTTCTTATGCTGCAGCTGTGCGTCGCTCTCCAAACCGCAGCCATGTAGCTCCCTGGATTGACTCGCGAAGCTCCTCGCCAACTGCCAGCCTGTCGGCCAAACTCTCCCCACTCCATCTTGGGTCAAAGGGCAGCAGCCCTTCCAGCACTACGTCAGAGAGCACCTCCGAGAGAGAACGAGAGCGCCCGCTCAGTGCTGGAGCTGTGTATGACCACCGCAGAAACAACTACTTTGGCAACACATTAACTGTGGGAGGGGGGCAGGGTAGGGGGTATGCATCGACCAATACTAGAGGTAACAATATTAATAATAAAACCAGCAAAACCTCGCGACAGCCATGGAGGCCACGGTCCAACAGTTACAGTGTCACACCACAGAACCGCCCCTCCATGATACCAGGTATATTGTCTGTGACAGAAAACCCCAGCGAGGAAAAAGAGGGGGCCAAAGCCAGCGATGGAGGGTGGATCAAAGTGGAGCGACAGAAGAGATTACCACGTCAGGACAATAAACAAGTCAGAGGTCGACAGAGGAGAGGGGGCAGGGGAGGGCGTGGCGCTGGTGGAAGAACTTAATGTAGGCCACACATGAACTGACAGCTTCTTGTGTGTTGAACATGTCATGCGCTGAAAAGGTTTTACATATGAATCATGTCTGGTTACAGGCTCAAAAATGAACTGCTAGTTTTAAGAGATTCTCACTGATGTATATACTATAAGTGTCAACATAAGCTATTATTTTTTAAAACAGGCTTCTGTCAGGTAAACAAAAATGAGCACACTCAGCATGTATTTATTGTTATTATAAAAACCTTTTTTTTGTTATTATTATTATCTCAAATTTCTCAATAGGAGTTCACTTTTTTAAAAACTATGTGTATGTGGACTAAACTGTGGATCACTTTTAATTTCTTTGACACAAAATACATTCAATGGCCACATTGATTTTGCCGCCCAAACCACGACCAAAACCAAATGTAGTTACCCTCCATTATAAAACTGTAACACATAAACGTAACACAAAATTACTTCTGCTACATCTACATCTGAAATAAACAGAAATGCTCCTAATTAGGACAAACAACACTGTGTTTGTATTCCTTAATGACTTCTATGAAAGACCGGTGTGGAAAGGGGGTGTGTGAGGCAGAAACCATAACATTTTGTAATTGTAGGCAACAATATGGCGTTCCACCGGTCTCTTCCAGTCATGGGGTCACTTTTCCTCCCACCTTACTCTCCATCCTTCAACCCCATACAGAGGAATTATTGTCCTCATCAGAAAGTGGAGAGTTTATGACCACCAACCACATAATCACATGTCTTGGATGCAATAAACACTGAATGTTTGCAGAAGATTGTCAGGGATCAGACATGCAAGATTACTTCCCAGAAGTATTACAGGAAAGGGCATAAGGTTTCAAATGCAGAAGACCGGGTTGACTAGCACTGTTGTTTTCTATATCTGTAGCTATCCTATACTTGTAAGTATAGGAACAAAGTATAGTTTTGTAATTGCAATTACTCTGAGCAAATATGTGAAAAAAAAATCAAGCATATTGAAGAATATTATAGGATTTCTCATTGATTTCTGTAACATAAACTGTAATGTAACAATCAATTTAATAAAGAAGTGATCTTTTGGTTGTACTCTTGGTTTATGATAAATAAATAAAGAAAAACATGCTTCAAAAACAATCGCAATACATAATGCTTCCTGTTGTGGTCTTTATAATGAGTGTTACTGTTGGCAGACTGTTGTTAGTGTAATGAGATGTGTTTGGTTGAAGGAGTTCTCGAACTTTTCCCCCTTGGAGAGTCAAACTGAAGCTTAATGGTGGGCCATGAGCCAGAATCAAACACCAATTGTTCTGTATTGATTAGATGCAAAATGGTACATCGACCCCAAGTCCCCCTTCATTGACTGACTTCCTGTGTCACACCGTGCTCAGATTATGACATCTCACATATTTAAAGAACATCTTTTATCTAACAAGAAAAAAACAGCATAAACAGTTATTTATATTATATATTATACATTATTATTATTTTCTTTTAGCTCGAAACATCTGGTGGGTCAAAATAAACCTTATTAGGGTCAACGTGCATTAGAGCAGTTTGGGTGTTAACGTTGTGCTGAGTGTAAACAGTGAACTTGGTATAGAGATAATGTGAGTTAGCAATTATAAAACATGTATACGGCACAGCAACCATGTTAATGCGTAAAATAAATGTATTTATCAGCTTCAGTTTCTCACAAGGAACCAGAATCTGTTGTGCATTTCTTCAAATACTTGGTGAGTTTCCTCTTTGCTGTGTCTCTTTCTGTAAAGTATTACAGGAGTCATATACATTTACAAGTGCGAGGTTGTCCTTGACCTGGTGTGCCACACCCAGCTGTGTTATTCTCCGCTTTGAAACTTCAATCACATCCACATTCCTGCTTTGTTACCATGTTTTTTGTATTATCTCAGTTTTGCTGCCAGTCTCATCTTCTATCCTCCTACTCCTTTTTATTCAGCTTTATTAAATTAAAGTTCTTTCCTGTGTCCTTTGCCAATAACCTTTATATAATAAAACCCTTATTTAATTCCTTTATTAACTATAACACACATGTGTTTGTTATCTGAACAAATATCTTTGCTGTAATGTGAAATGAGTCTGAATTAAAGACTAGTATAATAAAAAGGTCTGAGCACACTAAATTACTATCTTTCAAATTCTGACCTGTTTATGAACCTGGACAGAGATCAACATTTTACCCGCCTTGCATGCAAATAGTCAAATAAAAAACTCGCGCCACGGTGCAGTACCTGGAAGAACCACCGCTCTGGTTCCTTGAACGCCTCATAAATTCATTACTTTGTAAAGTTTGATTAATACAACAAACCGCGGACATATTTTAAAATATCATTACGAGTTACTGTTATGTATTCGACCACTAATGTGTAACATAAGTTTATTATTTTGTTAAACTACCTGATTTAGGTTTTATGGCGCTTTCAGGACCTTCCGGTGGCGCGGGAAATGAACGCTGTGGGTTTGATGCAGCTGCAGGTCCTTTATTGTTCACTGCAGAGCTGCAGCATCGTGTGTGTGTCTGTGTCTGTGTGACGATTACTACAAGAAAAATGCCATCCACCCGCTCCATGGTAAGAAAGAACAGACTTTTTATTTTTACAGTTTAATCGATTATCAGCAAGAGTGTGTGTGAGTTTATTTTATTGATTATAAAACATCCTGTTATGACCACATTGTAACTGTTAGGTTAACATTTCATTCAACGATTCAGAGTTTACCAACTTCAAACTAACATCATTAATTATTTATCTGATTTTGTGTATATATATATATATATATATGTATATGATGAATCTACGTTATTATATCATATATAACTATTAGAGTCATTATAGATGATCCAGTTACCTACATGTGTCTAACTTTGTGAAATGTCAGGGGTGTCCCATAAGCTAAATTAACTTTATATCTGAAACTTAAGGTTAGTCAATTCATTGATTTCTCCACTGACAGAACATTAATGCAAATTGGCCACTTTGACAAATAACTTAAGCAAAAAATAAACGAGTTCTAGCTATTTAAACTTTAATAAGTGCAGGTTTCCACGATAGAAGCGATATATTGAATTATTTTAGGTTTTGGACTTTCTGATGTTTTCTTACATTTTATTGACCAAACGATTAATTGATAATGTAAGTAATCCTTACCTGTAGCCTGTCTGTAAACCATTTGAAGCAAGATAACTTGATGAAGTCCAACAGTTTGTTACGTAAAATGTACGAATTCACGAAGTTGGTGCTTATGTATGAAACACAACCTAAATATTCTGACGGTCTCAGTTTTATAAACGTACCTGTTGTCATCCATAGAAACTGGCGGCCCAGCCTCCATCTACCAGGATGAGTTTGAGGAGCTTCCGCAGCTCCCCGCTGGTTCCCATGGAAACTTCCTCCTCTTCCTCCGACGACAGCTGCGATAGCTTCGGCTCCGACGGAGGCTTTGCAAATACGGTAACGATAAAATACCAAGTCTCGCTATTCCCAAGAAAAACGGCACGGCGAATGTGTCGTGTCTTGAGCGGCACCATCTGCAACTAAAGATTGTGTCTGTGTTTAGAGGAGCAGCTTAAGACAGACGAGGAGGATGGCAGAGAAACCAAAGATGTTTGAGGCAACATCAGAGGAGGATACATGCAGCGGGTTTGAGGAGACCGTGATCAACCGTCGGATGAAAGCTATGGTAAAGTTACAGTTGCAACATATTTCAGAACTTCACCAGACACGACCAAAAGTTTCCTTCTAACTGTGAGTTATATTTTTCTTTCAGAAAGTAGACTCTGAGCCTCCGAGACGTGGCCGCAGATCCAACGTCCTGAAGGTCGCCATGACATTCCCCACCAAGAAGACGGGCAGGAAGAGGCCTGCGTCAGAACCACTCGCTGAAAGTAGAGTGCAGCACCCCGACTCTGGAGAGGAGGAGAACTTCATGGACAAGAGAGCCCTGAATATTAAGGAGAACAAAGAAATGGTACAATTTCCTGTGTTTGTTTTTCACATTTAATTGCTACTATAATCTGGACTTTAGCCAGAACAGCCTCCATTGTCATTGTGCCATATCTCTCATTCATATTTGATTTATTTTTTAGCTTGCAAAGCTCATGGCAGAGCTGCACAAAGTACCTGGTCTCTTCCCAAGGCGGATGGCGATGTCGGCGTCCGCTACGGTAATTTAAACCTGCAGATAAATAGTTAAATCTGTCGTCTCACATCTCACCTCAGCATGCGGTGCTTTTATCAGTGCTCTGTATTAATTGGTTCTATATCAACATCTTCAGCCTCGACAGGCACCCCGGAGGTCCATGGGAACTCCAGGAGCTCGTAGGAGAAACCCGGAGCGCTTGTCCCGACCCCACACGCGGTCCCGCACGCTGGTGGACGGACCCCCCAGCCCAACTCCGGAGGAAGAGCCCGAGGACAAGTTCAGCCTGGTTCGCAAAAGCCGCTACTTCGAGGAGTACGAAGAGCCAGTAAGTTATATCAAAACAAGTCTCATCGCCTTTTTTATGTGGCATCAAATTCTCCGAATGCACAGTACAGACATGAATCGCATTCTGATTAACTACATTTATTTCATGTGCAGCCCCGTCGCCGTTCCTTCAACGGCTCCAAGGCCATCCCTCATCAAGTGCGGCCCGTGGAAGACATCACAGAGTCGGAGCTGCAGAGAATCTGCCACAACGTGCGGGAGAAAGTCTACAACAGCTCCACTGTAGGTCCCACATTCACTGTAATGACGAAGAAATAAGCTGCGTTTGTCCATTAAGCTTGTTTGGCTAAAGAGGGATACAAATCGTCTCTTGTTTTCAGGGATCCACTTGCCACCAGTGCCGCCAGAAAACAATCGACACCAAAACCAACTGCCGTAACCCAGAGTGTGTGGGGGTGAGGGGTCAGTTCTGTGGACCCTGTCTCCGTAATCGCTACGGAGAGGAGGTCCGAGACGCTCTGCTGAATCCGGTGAGTACCTCAACATACTAGATTGTGTTCACGTTTGATTGTGTGTGTGTGTGTGTGTGTTGGGCAAATCTGACTGATTTTTATAATCTCTCGTCGTCCCTGGTTAGGAGTGGCAGTGCCCGCCATGCAGAGGGATCTGTAACTGCAGCTTCTGTCGGGCACGAGACGGCCGATGTGCTACAGGAGTGTTGGTTTACCTGGCTAAATATCACGGCTTTGATAACGTGCACGCCTACCTGAAAAGGTGAGTGGAGCGTTTGTGTGTTTCTTAATTTTATGTTTTATTATTTTATAATGAAATGTCTGTTTTTAACACTGAGGTTCTCTTATCTTCACTGCAGCCTGAAGAAGGAGCTGGAAGAGGGTAGCGAGTGAAGCATGGACGAAGGAGCTGATCCTGGACCTGACTGACGTACTCTGTGACCATTTTTAAATGCACAGAAAGTCCAAATACTGTCCCTAGTGTTTCAAACGTTGTAACACGATGCTTATTGTTCCTGTTTGTGAAGTTTCACATGAGTTTTGAGCATTGAGTGACATCTGGAGGAGGCGCACACAGCCAGTTCTCTCCAGTATAAAGCTGTTTTTATTTTGTTCTCCTACACATTGTCCTGTCTGTCCTCAAGAGCGGAGCCCTTTACATTTGGACTGATTATATGTAAACTGAGGTGGAGCAAAACACATTGTAGGAAAAAAACACCTTAAATTGTGTGTGACCTTAAATATTTTAAGAAGATTGATGTACATATTCCCATAGCATGTATAAAAAAAAAAAGAGAACCGAATCATCCTACCTGCTGCAAACAATCTGGCTTGTTTAGATGATCTACTGTATTTTACATTGTTTTAAATGTATATTTTTTACACCGCATGAATTGGCCTCTGAGGGATTTTGTCTTTGTGCCTTTTTTTTTTTTTTTTTCTTTTTTTCCTAGTTGCAAATGTATTCTTGTGTTTTTTACAAGTTACATAGCTTTTTGTAAATCTGCTAAATGTTGAGGGTGGAAGAAACACAACTAAACAAAATATTTGCTCTAGTTGGGATGTCCTGTAGAAATGGCCGAATGATCTGCACGGTACTGAGGTGGTGCAGGTGGAAAGGGCATAGAGTGGGGGTCCACTGCCTCTCACTTCTAAACCCGAGGTACTGTGTGATATA